GATTTCGCCCGGTCACAGCCTCAAGCAGCTTACTCTGCACTGGTGAACAGCCTCCAACACCGGTGGTCCTTCCTGTGTCGGGTTCTCGATGGTGCTGCAGAACAGCTGGCACCCCTGGAGGACATCATCCACCGCCGCCTAATCCCTGCCATTAGTGGACGGACGGCGCCCAGTGAAGCTGAACGCATTTTGCTCACTTTCCCCTGTCGGCATGGAGGCCTCGGCGTGGCCAACCCTGCCACTTTTGGCTCACAGTACGGCACCTCCAGGCTAATCATCACTGCGCTGTACGACAAGATCATGGCGCAAGAAGAGCACCTCGATGATGCTCTTGCCTGTGTCCGCAGGGCCAAGAGTCAGGCTCGCTCTGAGGCCAGAAAGGCAATGAAGATAGCTGCCGATACGTTCCGCACCGAGCACAGCGAACTCGATCTCGCTATCAGTCTGGCAGAGGAGAAGGGAGCATCAAGCTGGCTTACCTGCCGACCCATCGCTCGCCATGGCTTCGCTTTGTCGAAGGGGGGAATTCCGGGATGGCCTCTGCCTCCGTTACGGTTGGACGCCTTCTCGCCTGCCCACCACCTGTGTTTGCGAGAAGGCATTCACCACTGCTCACGCCTTGTCCTGTCCTTTCGGTGGGTTCTCCTCGATCCGCCACAACGAGGTGCGCGACATACTGGCAAGCTCATTGAAGGGTGTCGCCCACAACGTCGCAGTGGAGCCACATCTCCAACCCCTGACTGGGGAGCAGTTTCAGCTCCGGTCAGCATCAACCGAGGATCAAGCTCGTTTGGATGTGGTGGCCAGTGGAGTTTGGGGGGGGGGGGGGGGGGGGGTCGGTTCGAACGCACTTTTATTGAGGTACGGGTGTTCAACCCTTATGCGTCTTCGAACCGCACCTCCTCTCTCTCTGGCTGCTACCGGCACCATGAGCAAGAGAAACGGCGTCGATATGATCGGAGAGTCCGAGAAGTGGAGCGATCCACTTTTCTCCCCTTTGTGCTCTCTTCCACCGGAGGATGCGGCAAGGGTGCCGCTGCACTGGTGAGCCGGATTGCACATCTCCAGTCGATACGTGGGCGGGAGGCGTATTCTGTGCTAATTGCCCACCTCCGCTGCAGGCTGTCTTTCGCCCTGCTGCGTTCGAGTGTCATGTGTCTGCGTGGGGCTCGCCGAGTTTGGCAGCCTCCAATGGATGGCTGTGCCTCCCTGGCTGTCGTGGAGGCTAGGGTGTCCCGTTGAGCCTTGCCCCGTGATTGTCCCCATATGGTGCAGTGGTATGTGCAACGATTTCCAATCGATAGGTTGCGGGTTCGATTCCCGACGATTATGGTCACACACGTCTTTCTTCTCTTATTAGACTTTTCCTGACTTTTCTTTCATTCTCCTGGGTGGTTACCAACAGCCAGTGTATGCTGGAGTATGTGGTGTGGTGTGTGTGTAGAAAAAAGAAAAAAAGAAAAAAAGAAAAAAATGGAAAAATGAAAAATAGGGATTCACTGGCCAGAAAAAGTCACTTCAAACAGCTGTGTGGTGGATACCAGGCTAAAAATAGTGGCGGTCAATTCATCAGCCTTGCAAGCTGTTGGATGGTGTAATCCCAGCACAAGTTGCTATGTCTAAAACATAGCTGTTCGCTATCATCGCTCCCGCGATGGGCATGTGACTTGTCTGAGGTCTGTCTGAGGTGTGATTGTGCGGACTATGCTATGTTTCTCTTGCTGTCTGATCACATGCGACGTCATCATTATGTGATTTGTTTTCAATCCTCCGCCATGGCAAATTGTGTTTTGTTCGCCCGTAAAAGAGGCTTTTACCAAAAAAAAAAAAAAAAAAAAAAACTCAATGCCTAAAGAGTACTCAATGCCTAAAGAGTACTCAATGCCTAAAGAGTACTCAATGCCTGAAGAGTTTTTTTATTTATTTTTATTTTTTATTATTATTATTTTTTTAACAGTTGGCACCTATGACATCAGGGGATGGCCCACGCCTGGTAAAAAATAAATAAATAAAAACAAAAACAATGAGGAGCATTAAAGACAGTCAGTGCAGTGCGCACATGTTCACCGGTTTGAGTGCTACGCACATGCCACAGTTCAGAAATGCAAATTGCACTCAGCCGCCACCAGTTCGGTCGATGATGGTTGAGCTACTGCAACTCTGCTCCGGGACCGGTGTCCTCGGAGGGCCATAATGGCCGAGCGAAGAAGGGCGAACCCCAACCTGCATCTGATCCATGCCATTGTGATGGAGTAAGGCTCATTCTTCTTGTCGCTGATGATCAGTCCGAGCCGCTTGTAAAGGGCAGTTGCCGCCTTGCCTTGGCCTCCGGTGGCACTGAATACGAGGGGAACGAAGGTGGCATGCTCCACCTCACGAACACGCTCCTCATAATGCCGACGCTTCTCACGCTCATGCTTTGCGTATGCGGCGGGGATGGAGTGGACCGAGTTCGAACGAGCATGAGGGTTGAACACCCGAATATCAAAGAAAGCTCGCTCAAACCGGCCACCCCGTACCCCGCTGGCAGCAACATCCAGCCTGGCACCATCCTCACGGATAGCCGTCCGGTGATGAAAATTCTCACCAGATAACGGCTGATGCCTGAAGAGTACTCAATGCCTGAAGAGTACTCAATGCCTGAAGAGTACTCAATGCCTAAAGAGTACTCAATGCCTAAAGAGTACTCAATGCCTAAAGAGTACTCAATGCCTAAAGAGTACTCAATGCCTAAAGAGTACTCAATGCCTGAAGAGTACTCAATGCCTGAAGAGTACTCAATGCCTGAAGAGTACTCAATGCCTAAAGAGTACTCAATGCCTAAAGAGTACTCAATGCCTAAAGAGTACTCAATGCCTAAAGAGTACTCAATGCCTAAAGAGTACTCAATGCCTAAAGAGTACTCAATGCCTGAAGAGTACTCAATGCCTGAAGAGTACTCAATGCCTGAAGAGTACTCAATGCCTGAAGAGTACTCAATGCCTAAAGAGTACTCAATGCCTAAAGAGTACTCAATGCCTAAAGAGTACTCAATGCCTAAAGAGTACTCAATGCCTGAAGAGTACTCAATGCCTGAAGAGTACTCAATGCCTGCAGAGTACTCAATGCCTGAAGAGTACTCAATGCCTAAAGAGTACTCAATGCCTAAAGAGTACTCAATGCCTAAAGAGTACTCAATGCCTAAAGAGTACTCAATGCCTAAAGAGTACTCAATGCCTAAAGAGTACTCAATGCCTAAAGAGTACTCAATGCCTAAAGAGTACTCAATGCCTGAAGAGTACTCAATGCCTAAAGTAGCCAGTGCAGGCTAATTTTTATTTTTCAAGGAAACCCTTCGAAAATGGTACCAATCGATTCAGCATGGCATTTTCATTCCTCCTGCAAAGTTTCAGCTGATTTGGAGTCATGACAAGGACGCTATGGCGATTTGAAGATCGAAAAACTTCACTTTTGTTTGTCAAGAAGAAAGACCATGATCGCACACAAATCATACAACCCGTGTGGCACAATGATTTTTGAACGAAGTTGATCCGCGGACCCCGTGCTTCGCGCATGCACGCATGCATACTGCACAGTACAGAGGCTTTTTTGAACGCAGATATGTAGTTCTTCGTCTTCTTCGAAAATTAATGTCTTCCAAATGCGTGGTGCTGGTGTTGTTCTCAGCTTCGTCAAGGCAGAATGCAGCTGCATGTGATGCTCCTGTGTGTTCATGCATGTTCTCTTTTCGCGTCTCGACATTGTAGCGTCCAGACTCAGCTCGACTGGAGAAGATTGAGGAGACTATGCTTTGATCCACATGGAGAATCGATGAAATTTGGTAATTATCGTCGGGCGCTAAAAAGCGCTGGGGAGCATGGGGCTAAAACTTCGTAGCAGTCATCCCTACCATGACAGGCATCGACTGGTATATGTTCCATTCTGTTCCCAACCACTACGGGTCGTCTGCGAAGCTTTCTTCTTCGCCGATTCTCGGACAGATCGTACGTCTTCGCTCTGTATCTCTCGTCTCCCTCAACGGATCAAAACACGGTTTTCGCCAGGACGAACACAAACCCCCAGATTTCGCGGCGGCAACATCTTCGAGTAGGGAAAAGCTAGCAGCTAACCAGGAATCACCAAAAAACACGTGTAATACTCAGTGCGATTTGCGACAGCTGTCATTGTGCCGTCGCACCATGCATGTACCATGCACGGGAATGGAACACGAATGAGTCGTTTTATTACGACAGCCTGCACTGGCTACCTAAAGAGTTTTTTGTTTTTTTTGTTTTTTTTTGACTTGGTAAACCGGCCTCTTGTACGGGCAGAATTTAGTAACACAGTGATACAATAAAAACAAGTACCAGTAGTTACATACATGGACCATACGAGAAAAAGCAATGATGACGAGGCATAAACAAGTGTCTAGTGCTGTATGGCAGCTTCCGAGACAGCGAGTCGAGCGGATGACTCAGCCACCTCCGGGTGCGAATACAGGCGTCGTGCACCACGCAGGCAAGCCACGCCTGCACGGAGAAGGGCGAAGCTGAACCTGCAGCGGATCCATGCCATCACTGCAGAGTATGGCTCACCAGATTTGTCGGAGACCATTGCAGCTATTCTCTTGAGGAGAGCGGCAGCAGCTCGACCAGTACCACCAGTTGCAGCGAAAACCACAGGGATGAAGGTTCCACGCTCGACCTCCTTGACGCGCTGTTCGTATCGCCTCCGTTTTTCACGTTCATGACGCTGGTAGCAAGCGGTGATGGAAGAGGATCGATTTGAGGGAGCAAAGGGGTTGAAAACCCGAATATCGAGAAAGACTCTCTCAAACCGACCTCCCCAAACACCACTCGCCGCAACATCAAGTCGAGCCTGGTCTTCTGTGGAGGCAGTCTTGTAGCGGAGCTGCTCACCAGAGAGCGGTTGTAAGTGTGGCTCGATAGCGACACTATTGGCGACACGTTTCAATAGCGAGGCAGTGATGTCCCGCACCTCATTGTGTCGAAGTGACGGGAAACCTCCGGTGCTGCATGTCAGGGCATGGGCTACTGTGAAGCTGGCTCCACAGACACAGGTTGACGGTAAGCGAGAAGGCCGCCAGCCATAGCGCAGTGCCAAACCATCGCGGAACTCGCTTTTGGATAGCACAAATCCATGACGGGATAGCGGACGACAAGTAAGCCAGCTGGAGGCGCCAGGCTCACTTGCCAACTGAATTGTGTGCTGCAAAGTGGGCGATGCGTCGGCAGCGAAGCCACGGATGTCGGTCTTCGCTTTCTGGCGGTGATCTGCACGCTGTGACGCTTTGGCTGAGGCAACGCTGGCAAGAGCTTCCGTCACACTGAAGTCTTGGTCGAGGATGTTGGTGGTGAGCGCCGCTGTGATCGCGCGGGATGAGGCGTATTGGGTTGTTAGAGATGTTGGATTGACGATGCCCAGGCCACCATCCCGGCAAGGGAAGGCAAACAGCTGTCGCAGCTCCAGACCTAAAGAGTACTCAATGCCTAAAGAGTACTCAATGCCTAAAGAGTACTCCATGCCTGAAGAGTACTCAATGCCTAAAGAGTACTCAATGCCTGAAGAGTACTCAATGCCTGAAGAGTTTTTTTTTTTTTTTTTTCATCGTACACAGTACAGTTGGCACCTATGACATCAGGGGATGGCCCACGCCTGGTAAAAAATAAATAAATAAAAACAAAAACAATGAGGAGCATTAAAGACAGTCAGTGCAGTGCGCACATGTTCACCGGTTTGAGTGCTACGCACATGCCACAGTTCAGAAATGCAAATTGCACTCAGCAGCCACCAGTTCGGTCGATGATGGTTGAGCTACTGCAACTCTGCTCCGGGACCGGTGTCCTCGGAGGGCCATAATGGCCGAGCGAAGAAGGGCGAACCCCAACCTGCATCTGATCCATGCCATTGTGATGGAGTAAGGCTCATTCTTCTTGTCGCTGATGATCAGTCCGAGCCGCTTGTAAAGGGCAGTTGCCGCCTTGCCTTGGCCTCCGGTGGCACTGAATACGAGGGGAACGAAGGTGGCATGCTCCACCTCACGAACACGCTCCTCATAATGCCGACGCTTCTCACGCTCATGCTTTGCGTATGCGGCGGGGATGGAGTGGACCGAGTTCGAACGAGCATGAGGGTTGAACACCCGAATATCAAAGAAAGCTCGCTCAAACCGGCCACCCCATACCCCGCTGGCAGCAACATCCAGCCTGGCACCATCCTCACGGATAGCCGTCCGGTGATGAAAATTCTCACCAGATAACGGCTGAAGGCGTGGCTCAATGCTGACATCATGAGCTGCTGATGTGAGCATGGTAGCGGTCAAGTCCCGCAGCTCGTTGTGCCGCAGAGACGGATAGCCACCTACTGGGCAAGACAAGGCGTGCGGGACAGTGAAGGCAGCTCCACAGGCACAGCTCTGGGGGAGATGGGGCGGAGTCCACCCGTAGCGGAGGCAGACAGCATCTCGAAACGCGCCCTTGTGTAGCGAGAACCCATGCTGCTTGAGTGGTCGACAGGTGAGCCAGTTCGACGCACCCTTTTCGGCCGCAAGATCCATGGACCTCTGCAGGTCTCCATCCACGCCACCGTACACCTCCTTGGCATGACGCTGCTCCTTCTTTCTGGCGTCTGCCCTGGCTTTAGCTTTGGCTGCCCTGGTGTTGTCCGCCTCCTCCTGTGGCGGTGTATCCTGGTTCAAAATGCGCTGAACTAAGCCCTCGGTGATCGTAAGTGAGGAAGGAAGCTGGTTCACAAGAGATACTGGGGAGACAATCCCCATGCCTCCGTAGCGGCTTGGGAGCGCGAGAACTTGGCGTTCCGTCTCTCCGGGCTGGGGACGACCAAGAAGAGCGGGAATAAACGATTCGGAGATGGTGGACTCCAGCTGTTCGAGGTGCGGGGCAACTCCTGGCATTGTGCGGGCGATGAATGACCACTTGTGCCGGAGAACGTTGGTGTACACTGCGTAAGCTGCTTGTGGCTGGGTGGAGGCCACGGTGGACAACTCCCGGATCTCCTCTTGCCATGCCTTCACCTTCGCCAAAGCAAAGGAGGCCCTATACTCGGGTGATCCAAGGGCGGCTCCAAGGTGTCGGTTGCCGTCCGTCTTGATGACGATATCGGTGTCGGCGAAGATTGCCCGTGCAGCTTCAGCGCATTCGGGCTTAACAAGAAGAACCGACTTGGCTGCGTTAAGGTGATAGCCAAACTCTGGACCTCTCCGCTCGATGATGTCCCACCAGGCTCGGAGGCAGGGGATCTTCCCTGCTGCGTTGGCATCATCAGCATACCAGCTTTGCAGGGCGTCACTCTCGGCAGCGACTCGGATCAGCGGAGAGTACTCAATGCCTGAAGAGTACTCAATGCCTGAAGAGTACTCAATGCCTGAAGAGTACTCAATGCCTGAAGAGTACTCAATGCCTGAAGAGTACTCAATGCCTAAAGAGTACTCAATGCCTGAAGAGTACTCAATGCCTGACTGAAGAGTACTCAATGCCTGAAGAGTACTCAATGCCTGAAGAGTACTCAATGCCTAAAGAGTACTCAATGCCTGACTGAAGAGTACTCAATGCCTGAAGAGTACTCAATGCCTGTTTATAAGGCAGAGCTTTCCACACAGCTGAAATGGCCATTGTTTAATAGGCGACTTTGTGTTGTTGTTGTTGTTGTTGCTTGATGATCACGCTATGAACTGTGTGCATGTGCGTGTGTGGAAAGCTGGAGTAATACTACCGGGGCTATACACGGAAACATTCGCGGCAAGAAATGCTTGCGTTTTAGAAATTCAGCTTTGCCATTCCGCGCCTCCGGCAAACATGGCAAGCAATGCCTGTTTCACAGTACATGCACCCAAAGGAAGAATAGAGGAAAGCGGGCATACTACTGTCGTGGACATGGAAATCCGGTCGCACGTCTAGCGGCACCCGGGGCGCTGGTCGTGCAGCTGTGGGTAAGCACTAAGCGGTAAACACGTGCGCTGCAGCGCGCTGGTCGCATCGCGGATCAACATGCGCACTGCGTGCTACGTTCTGTACTGGCTGAGGGCGCCGCCCCCCCCCCCCCCCCCCCCCCCCCCCCGGGTCATTCAACTGGATTTCCATGTCTACGACAGTAGTACGAGCAGCAGCTACGCATGGCACAGTAGTACGGGCAGCAGCCACGCATGGCACAGTACCTTGCCACCTGCCGACACAACAGGACCAGGATTCATATATGAAGCGGATGAAGGAGGAGTGCTGCCGGCAGGTGATAGACCTGATGAGAAAACACACACACACACACACACGCGCGCACGCACACACACACAGGGACGTCTTTAAAAAAAATCCCACGTTGTGCTGTGGGATGGTTGAGATGCAGACTCTAGGTTACTCTTGGTGGTGTCAAGAGTAAATGAGCTGCCGCCGAGAGTGTGTTCACCGATGGCAACATTCCACATCCCGTGTCCCAAACACAAGTCGCGCCATGGACAACAAAGGATAGCGTGCGTGCAGTCCGAATATCTGTCATGATCATGCTGATGACGGAGTGGGTTTCTGTCAGGAGTGCTATTTCTTTTTCAACTCCACTGGTCGCCAAACCGGGCTGGGAAAGTACCAGTTACAATGGCAAGACAACAAAACGTGATGTGAGTTTTCCGCCGTCAGCAAACTCCCACAGAAAGGGTATCATGAGTTGCACACTCTAGTTTATGTCCTCTTGACGGTACCAAGAGTAGATCATTAAGAGTGTACAACTCGGCATCTCTCCTGCACAATCTGCAGATACCCCGGCCCACGGCGGAAACTTTTGTTGACGCCACCTTTTTTACAGAGCATGCACATTTTGCCGTAGAGCAGCGCGAGAGCACGTGCTGGGCACCGACCTTGTAATGTACAGCCCGGCCAAGTGCACGAGGCAATACTTTCCAAAAGACTCGCAGCGTGTGCGTCGTAGAAAAGCCACTCTTGGGAGCTTATTTACTCTTGATGGTATAGAGCATAGTACACTGGATTCTTACGATAGATAGATGGATGTTGTGCGCGTGTGTGCATGTAGGTGTGTGCATGTATGTGTGTGTAGCATTATAGTAATAATGCAGATTAATGGGTGCACGCGGCTGCTTCGTGCTACCACGCAAACTATGCTGCTATGATTGCTTGCGCTTTTACTGCATGCTCATGCTTTGCTGCTGGCTACAGTCACGTGCGCTGTACATCACGGTATCCATGTCGGTCACACGCCTTGGTGCATGTTCACATGGTACTCTATGCGTCGTGGCATTCTATGTGTCATTCAACGTGACACTCAACGTGACATTCATTCATGCGCGACGCTCAACGTAGGCGGTATGCGTCGTGGGCACTCAACGTGTCATGCTAACGTTAAAGTTTGCTGAGTTATACATTTCGATTCGTTCTGTGCGTGGATCACTCTTATCATATCATTGTGTTTCTATCCTCTTGGCTCCGCCAAGATCCTGCTCTCTCTGTAGCCTCTCACTTCGCTGGCCAGCACCCTCCTAACCGCAAGCTGCTGTGTGTTGTAGTTAATGCATGTACGTGTGTGCATGTATGTGTGTGCATGTATGTGTGTGCGGACGTGCACCATTGCGAATCATGAAAGTTAGGAAAGCACACACACACACGCACACGCACACACACACACACACACACACACACACACACAGAAAGCATACCTGAAGCAGGATCTGATCTCTGGCGGGCATCGAGCAGCTTGGCTTCAAGCTTCTCCGCTGCACCGACCCTCGCCAACTTGAGAAGGGCCTGAAACTGCTTCTCATCGCCACCATGTGTGATCGCAAACATCTCGCCGTCCGTGCGACTTAGCAGAACCTCTCTGAGCAGCCGCTTAGCATTCAAACAGGCTCTGAGGTCCGTTCGATCTACAATCATGGCAACAAGCTGATGCAACTTGTCCAGGCCTTTCCGGGGTGATCGTGTGAAGTCCGTACCTGAAGAAGTAAGCATCGAAGAGTGGCCATCGGCATGCGCATGCACAGCCACACACATGTACACGGGTACAGACACACACATGTACATGGTCAGACACACAGACACACACACACACACACACACATGCACACATCCACATGGGTACAGTCACACACACACACACACACACACACACACACACACACACACACACACACACACACACACACACACACACACACACACACACACACACACACACACACACACACACACACACACACACACACACACACACACACACACACACACACACACACACACACACACACACACACACACACACACACACACACACACACACACACACACACACACACACACACACACACACACACACACACACACACACACACACACACACACACACACACACACACACACACACACACACACACACACACACACACACACACACACACACACACACACACACACACACACACACACACACACACACACACACACACACACACACACACACACACACACACACACACACACACACACACACACACACACACACACACACACACACACACACACACACACACACACACACACACACACACACACACACACACACACACACACACACACACACACACACACACACACACACACACACACACACACACACACACACACACACACACACACACACACACACACACACACACACACACACACACACACACACACACACACACACACACACACACACACACACACACACACACACACACACACACACACACACACACACACACACACACACACACACACACACACACACACACACACACACACACACACACACACACACACACACACACACACACACACACACACACACACACACACACACACACACACACACACACACACACACACACACACACACACACACACACACACACACACACACACACACACACACACACACACACACACACACACCTCAGACCTCAGACATGCCCATCGCGGAAGCGATGATAGCGAACAGCTATGTTAGACATAGCAACTTGTGCTGGGATTACACCATTCTACAGCTAGCAAGGCTGATGAATTGACCGCCACTATTTTTAGCCTGGTTTCCACCACACAGCTGTTTGAAGTGACTTTTTCTGGCCAGTGAATCCCTATTTTTCATTTTTCCATTTTTTTTCTACACACACACACCACACCACATACTCCAGCATACACTGGCTGTTGGTAACCACCCAGGAGAATGAAAGAAAAGTCAGGAAGAGTCTGAGAAAGAGAAGAAAGACGTGTGTGACCATAATCGTCGGGAATCGAACCCGCAACCTATCGTCACACACACACACACACACACACACACACACACACACACACACACACACACACACACACACACATGTTCATGTGCCCAGACACACACGCGTTACAGTTATCACGCTGCTATTGTCTTTGAGGCGTCCATCCAGACACTGGCCGCTGCCCTACAACAGAAACAGCTGAGTAGTCAGAGTACTAGGGACAGAAACACAAACCTAGACATTCAACTCACGACGAATCACGCGGATATCGGCTTTGAGACGTCGATCCAGATACTGGTCAACTTCAGTGGCCTTGTTGATGTTCGGAATGATCTGCTTCTCTTTGAGTTTCTCTCCGCTGAGCGGTTCCACCAGATTGTTCTGTACTAATGTGCTGCGACTGTACGTGTGTCCAGTGAGAGCCGTGAACACCGGGTCAGTGAACACACACTCGGATACGTTGTCAATGACGTTACTCTTCTCTCCGTCACTGTCAGCGTAATGCTCCTCCAGAACCTGGGTATGGATGATGATGATGACGACGACCACAACAACAACAACAACAGCAGCAGCAGCAACAGCGTCATCAGAACACAGCATTCAAAAATACACCAAACGTATGCTGCTCGTATGCACCTACCAAATTTGCCAACGCAAACAACAGCAGTGGCGAGTGAACCCTATTAAATAGGGACGTGCCAGCTGGAAAAATTCACGGACAGCATCACTTCGTTCTTATAGAGGAACAGATGTCCGTGAAGCTCCTAGAATCTGTAGATGTAACATTCTGGACGCTGGATCCAATGGCCTTGGTCCCAGGAGGCTGTGATACAGCGTTCAGCACTTACTACCAATCAAACGCGGCGGTCCTGTAAGGGTTGCCGTACCGATGCGTACACTAGTCACCTGGTTACTGTGTAGTGCAGTGCAGTGTAGTGCAATGCTATGTAGAGTAGAACGCGCCATTTCGTTCTTATAAAAGCACGGATGACCGCGATTGGCCCATATGTTGTACTCTTTTGGACGCCGAGTCGACTGGTTTTGGTCCGAAAAGGCTGCTATGCAGCGTTCGGCCCTTATTCCCAATCGAACATGGTTGAACAAGCGGTCACGTGCTCCTGGGTGCCCAAATCACCTGGTCACCACGCCAGCAGGCGACAACTTTCACACCAAGGTTCAACTCGAGTGACAGGACTGCACCCAAAAAAGGTCAAACAGGCTAGTAAGTTGTACCCTGCAGGCACGGTGACCAGGTGACTGGCGTACGCAGGAGCACGTGACCGCTTGTTCAACCATGTTCGATTGGGAATAAAGGAGGAACGCTGCAAACCAGCCTTTTCGGACCAAAACCAATCGACTCAGCGTCCAAAAGACTACAACATATGGGCCAATCGCGGTCACCCGTGCTTTTATAAGAACGAAATGGCGCTTTTAGTGACATTTTGCATACAAATCCCCATCTAGTAGGGCGCAGTCACCCAGTTTCGGTGGAAGTGCGCGAGTTCGATTGGGATTCAAGTAGGAAGGGAGTGTCTCAGCTTCCTCGGACCACGACCATTCGACTCAGCACCCCGAAGACTACAACTGGTGAAATTTTATTTTTTGCCTTAACTTCCCCTTTAAGGGTCAAACCGGATTAGGGATCGGGCCCGGGGGGGGGGGGGTCACTTGGCATGTACATTGTGCGGGTGATCCTTATACCGGGATTTAATTTCCGGCCCAAGGGAACCTACAATCCACAGAAGAATAGCGGGCGTGGGTGTAGATTGACTTACTGGCGAGGCCTGTGGATGTGGCATTCCACCCTTAATAGCAATGTGAAGATCCAGGCGGCTGCCTAGCGACAGACCTTGCTCTGCTAGCGTCTTGCTAACCAGTATCTGTGAGACAGCAAGCCGACAATGTGACACGCACGTGCACACACACACACACACGTGCACACACACACACACACACACACACACACACACACACACACACGCATGCACACACGCACATCGACAGAGACACATCGACAGACCAGTAGTTATGCACAAAGATGCACGCATCAGCAGGATGAACTTACATACAATGTAAACCTGTGCCATTTTGTACACAGACATGAAACATGAAACACGCACACACACACACACACACACACACACACACACACACACACACACACACACACACACACACGCACACACACACACACATCACACGCAGAACGACCATGACTGACCTTTTTGTTGTTCAAGAAGAGGCGCTGCAGACGAGCGGAGAGTCCCGTCTGTGCCTCGACTGCATCTTCTACGTCGTGACGCGTGCACACACGCAGGTCACGGCCATGTAAGACAGCAATACACCCGTAGAGTGAATCGCCGCTTTCCACAAGCAAGCTGTGTTATTGCACGCACAAGCAGACAACAAACACACATGTACGTTCACGTTCGCATACATACACAGACACAGACACACACAGACACACACTTGTACTTGCTCACTGCCAAAACTGGTCACGTGGGTCTCCCTGAGAGAGGGGAGAGAGACTCAAAAGGAATCTTGGAAAGATCACTCAATTGGACATTGAACCACCCAACGGCCGACACCCCCTGAAATCCCCAAACTAGGGTGGACTTGAAATGATCTCACATATGGGCTCACCACACCTCAGTAAGTGGGTGAGAACAAGGTGCAGAAAAAGGATTGACGGCATCAGGGTATCCGTCCCGGGATCCAACTGCAGGTACCCCTGCCCCCAGTGAAGGTAATACTTGCTACTAGTGTGGGTGGCTAAATCAGAGTGGATCTGATAAAAGCTTCACTAGCACCATTGATTACACAAGAGTTAATCTAGCCAGAAAAAGTCCATGGGTAACAGGTATGTATACTTCAAATAGAAAGTATTATGAACCCTGGAACCAACAAAGTTGGCAGGTACAGCATTATACCTTCAAGCACTGAGCCGAGCCCGTTGGCAACAGACCCAACACTATCTGGCATAAGTGTACCCACCAACCGAACTAGCTGGCACACACACACACACACACACACACACACACACACACACACAGACACACACACACGCGCACACACAGAGGCAGGCACACAGACACACACCATGTACCATGCCCATACCGACACACACACACACACACACACACACACACACCATTTGACCCTTTGACGCCCCTCGCCAGAGGCGATGATAGCGATGCTACAGCAGGAGCCATAGCAGCTTGTGCTGGGATTGCACCATTCAACAGCTTGCAAGGCTGAAGAATTGACCACCACTATTCAGCCTGGTCTACAGTCTACACCACACAGAGTGGAAGTGGCTTTTTCTGGCCGGTGAATCCCTACTTTTTCGGGTTTTTTCATATTTTTCCCGCACACACATCACACCATATACTCCGGCATGCACTGACCGTTGGTTACCACCCAGGAGAATGAAGGGAAAGAGGAGTCTGAGAAAGAGAAGACGTGTGCAACCATAATCGTCGGGAATCGAACCCGCAACCTTTCAATTGGAAATCGACTGCACATACAACTGCAAATTGGACAAACACACACACACACACACACACCTGTCCTGTTGACCCACTGCCGTAAAAGTGACGTGGTCCCATTGCGGGAGGAGGGAGAGGAGCAAACACGCCGGTGCCGCGTCCGGTCCCTGGACTGCCGAAATCTCCGAGAGCAGTGCTGACACAGTAGTGGAAACTTGGCACGCTCATCCGTTGTTGGGCGGTTCTGGCGAGGTCTACAATGAGCGGGAGCAGGCTGGCTAGCTATTGAGGTAGGCTGACAAGTGTGGAGACAGCGAGTCCATCCCTGCTACGACACCATTTCCCACAATCTGCGCATTGACATGCACCATGCTGCTGTTGTACAGGATTGCGACGCTCCGCTGTGCACTTGTGGCGCTTAAGATCGCTTGCTCTAGAGGAGACCTTTCCACAGATGGGACACTCAACGGGGGCTGCTGCGACCAGTTCCTTATCCTGGTCTTGGTATCTCCATCGCCATTCCATACGAGAGGTGTTAGCGGTCTGGTACCACACACGCACACACTGTGTGTGTGTGTGTATGTGTGCGTGTGTGTATGTGTGCGAGCGCGCGCGCGTGTGTGTGTATGTGCGCGTGCACGTGTGTGTGTGTGTGTGTGTGTGTGTGTGTGTGTGTGTGTGTTACCCCGCCGCTTTAGAGCTAGCGCTGCCTGCATGGTGATTGCTGCAACACCGATGCCCTTCGCAACTACACCAATGTACGGCAAAGTTTTTTTGTTGAAAGCAATTAATCCCACAGTGACAATAAAACTGTGAACCATTCGGCTGTTTCTTTTCAAATACATACAACTCTCCTCCTCCATGCGCTCTAAAGCCGACCATTGCTACCCTCGGTAGCCATTACTCACACCAATTATTTTAAACAACGAAGGGGGTCACGGGTAAAACATTTTCTTCTGGCAGCTGTTTCGCCTACCATAGGCTCGTCAGGGGTGATACTGGAGATGGCAATTGACATTGCAAAATCACTAGTAATATTTACATGGTAGACATGTATTAAAGGCGCAAGAAACTAGGCAAGGTGTAAGACTAAGAAGTTACAAGAATACTCAAGAATATTCTCAAAGCTTAGAGAATATTCTTGATTATTCTCAGTGTTACACCTTGCCTAGCTTGCCTGCCAAAATACAATTCAACTAGTATTACACTGTACCTCATTGTTGAAGCTCCAGTAGGACGGTGCTCGCATGAGCTGTGGTTAGGGTTCACTTAGCTAGCTGCTCGTTGTTGATAGGGCCTCTACTTCAATGTCAGCGCAGCAGCCTGACAGATAGAAAAAATTTAAAAAAAATTCCAAACTCAGCTGATGCATGGCAGCGCCGCGGCGTGAGTGAAGAAGTGGGGCGAGTAGATGACTAACTAACTAACTAACTCCCCACCTACAATGCACGTTTGGAAGCCCTCGATGAATGAGCTCATGAGTTGAAGTACCAACCAACAATAACGAGAGAGCTTGGAAGCTCAGGGCCCTACGCTATGCTTTTTTGCCTTGACGACCTAGACAAAAAAAAGCATAGGGCCAGGGATGTTATAAATTCTTTAAAGAAAAAATCCTTTTTTTTAAAGACATAACCTGGGATTCGAACCCGCACTATCGCGCGCCCTGCATGCATCCCCCGATACACTTCGCATACATACTAATTCTTCCAAGTTGTTTCACATTGTGATCTTGCATTTGAAAGCCTTATTTGAATATGCACTGTGGCCAGCCGTCTTTGATGGCACGGTACGGTAGGGGATAGGTACGGGACAGGTACGATCGAGGGTAATACGACACCGTCTCCCTACCGTACCGTACCATCAAACACAGCTGGCCACATACAGCTGCCCGCAATATTCAAATAGGGCTTTCAAACGCAAGATAATAACGTGAAGCAACTTGGAAGAATGGGTATGAATGCGAAGTGTATGGGGGAATGCATGTAGGGCGATAGTGCGGGTTCGAATCCCAGGATATGCCTGAAAAAAATAGGAGAATTGAAAAATTTATAACATGCATGGGCCGTTACATGCCCGATTGGTTGAGAGACTCACCTACTCTCCCCTGACTCACTTGTGAGGTCTGCATTCGCCACTAAGGTGTGCAAGGCATAGGCATAGTGGTGGCCTGCGGAAGCGAAGGCTAGTTTGTGTGTTTCTGAACATTCAAGCGATGCCAACGCGAATCCCGCGAATTATTATATCATTATGCTTTTTTGCCGTCAGATACGGATAGCGCCAGGCGTGACACAAACAAACAAACACACAAACACACAAATACCAAATTAAAGCTGTGTGGACCCTGGCTAGCGCCAGACGTTACTGAAGTAACGTCTTCTGCATAGCTACGGGAATAATATTTTCGTCTGGTCAGCGTGCATCCCAAAAATAATAATAATCCTTGTACATACTCACACAGCACAGTCACTGCATGCATGCAGTTTTTGTTGTCACCGTACTAACTCACTGGCTTGCGAAGTAACGTTGGTTGCGAGTTCAGGTCATAAGTACAAGAGTTGCACACAGTCTGTGCCGAGTTCGAGTGCCCACTGCACTGCGAGTGCACTACTGAACAACGGACACTGCAAGGATCAACAACGCTCCTGATCAAGAACTAACTAATTACTTACTTGAACTGTTGAAGAAGCGCAACAACGATTCTTCTTTTTGGCAAAACGCTAGGCGATAGGCCAAGTGCTATTTCTGTACGAGCTCGTACACCATGTTATGTACACGCCGCTAGACCACCGCCCTCGTACTAGCAGTAGCACCGTGCATGTCCGGCTATCCGTCCGTTTCGCACCGCGCCGGCTGTGCTCAGTGAGCCGGGACATGTACAGGATATGGAAGTAGAGATACTGTAGCTCCGTATCCGAAACCTTTTTTTTTTTACTTTGGGTTCCGAAACCCACTCCCGAAACCCACAGTGCAGTGTCCCTCACTGCCTCATGCTCAGAGCTAGCTGACAAGTGACATGACGCCTCGGCAGTCACCATGGTCACAGGTCGTAGACCTACGGCCATTTCACCATGATCGCGTGCAACAACTGAACAAGCACTTGAAAAGTTGAAGCAGTACCCAAGCCCGAGTAAAAGTAGTGCAAGCCTGCAGGCTGCAAGGGTCTCAGCTGATCAGTACTACTACTAGCCACACCTGTCACTTCTTTGACTTGAAAAACTAACTTGACAACTAAATTTTATATCCACGTGATTGACAGTTGACACTTTATCTTTGTCTGGCTTCCTCTAGTCTGAGTCCGAGTCTGGCCACGCCATGGCCTGCTCGATCCGCTGGTTTCCAGCTTGCTCAACAACAACAGACTCACTCACTCAGTTACTACTGACAAGCAGGGAGTAGTACAATACATACATGTAATATTATACCTCACTCCATATTCACCCACATACAATTGGCCATCTACATAAGTGGTGAATATTGCTGAATATTCACCGCTTATATTCACCACTTACCTCATATTCACCACTTATATTCACCACTTTTCGATACTTACATTGTACTGTAAAGAGAGCAGTACTCGGTGCTGCGCTTGATTCCTCTTCAGTCAGCGCACCGGAGCTGTCGAGTGCCCTAGAAAATGTCTACGCTAACTTCCTTAGACAGGACTTTTCTGAGTACAAACGAAATAATTCCTTGCTTGCCATTGCCGCTGGATCCGCATGTGACCAGGTGCTGACAGTGAGCATCTTCACAGACGGAGCGTTTCAGCGAGAAAACAAGGTTTTGGACGCTCAACATGTCAATGGCCCGATGATTGCGGATCAAGCGGCAAGCCAGGAATTTCGTTTGTACTCAGAACAGCCCTGTTCAAGGACGTTAGCGTAGAATTTTCCTAGGGCACACAACAGCTCCGAAGCGCTGCCTAAAAAGAAAAGAAGTGAGAGTAGAACCGCTTGGCTCGCTGTTATAAACCGACTCCCGGATTGGTCAAATCTTCGCGTGAAACGAAACCTCTCTAATGATTGGCTTCCGCCACAAAGCTGCACGAGCGTGTTCTCCATGGTGATTGGCACGAGCGTGTTCTCCAAGGTCGTCACCTGCCATGCCACATGCACCAGTACGTGTACACGATCGATTGAACAAGATTCTGAACACACCGCCCTCCGATTCAGGCAAGAACACGCCAGTCGGTCTGAAGGCTCAGTGAAGCAACAACGACTTACGTTAGTTCTGTGTACATGTACATGTATGACCAACAGGACTGGTTTGTTGGGTTTTAGGGACGAGAGGGTGAATATGGAGAGGTATAAGTCTAATATTACCTTCAGCCTCGTGAATATGGGCGAATATTCACTAGTTATACAAACCTCGGCTTCGCCTCGGTTTGTATACTAGTGAATATTCGCCCATATTCACTCGGCTTCAGGTAATATACTTATACAATGTAGATATTGTACTACACTGTACTCCCTGCTGACAAGTAGCTACATGTAGCTAGCGAAGTCCACGTGGACGTAGTCATGGCACGGACTGTATGTAGACGTACGGACCGCGTACCGGCTGGCGGCAACGCGGTCTTCAGATCTGGATGTACATTGTACTACAGTGTTGGCGAAATCCGACCCCTGAGCGGTGCACTCACATCGCAAAGACCCAACACAGGATCGTAACACCACGAAAGAGATATTAAAGGGGAAGTGCATCGATTTTTCAAGTAGGGCTCAGATGAAAGACATTTCAAACATATCACGTGCTTGTTGCCATCCGACGGCCAATCAGCATCGACTTGTACCAGGGCAGAAATTGTGTGTATTGCCTGGACTACGGCATGGCAATGCCCTGCTAGCATGCTACGGAGTACGGTGACATCCAATGCCCTGCATGCATGCTAATTGCTATGCAAATGCCAGGCTATGGTGCCATCTATCAGCCTAGCTCGGCAAGGGTCTGTGGCACTGGCAGTTTTTCGTTGTCAGCTCAGTTCGCATGTACATAAGTCATTCGACTGTGAACTGACGTTACTTGCTCTGGTAAGCGAAATAAAAGAGCATGCACCTATCTATCTGCTCTGAACGTAGCAAGCCAAAATAAGTAAAGTGGCAATCACCGGGGTCAGTTTTCCATGTTCGGATTCCAGCTGTTCCAGCTCCGTGCGCTCTCGGGCAAGCCCTCGAGCGCACGGCTGAAGTTTCGTTCTGAAGTTTCAGCTCACGAAGTATCAGCTCCGTATGCTCTCGGGCAAACTCAGAAGCTGAAGTTTCGTTCTGAGCTCCGTACGCTCAAGGGCTTGGGAGCTGAAACTCACAAGCTGAAGTTCCAGCTCCGTTTCACCTGAAGCAAGGTGAAGTTTCGTTCTGAAGTAACCGTTAGTTTCATCTCGAGCAAGGTGAAGTTTCAGCTCCGTACGCTCTCGGGCAAGCCCTCGAGCGTACGGAGCTGAAACTCACAAGTAACGAGTTGAGTAACCGTTAGTTTCATCTCAAGCAAGGACATTAGGTGAAGTTTCAGCTCCGTACGCTCTCGGGCAAGCCCTCGAGCGTACGGAGCTGAAACTCACAAGTAACGAGTTGAGTAACCGTTAGTTTCATCTCAAGCAAGGACATTAGGTGAAGTTTCAGCTCCGTACGCTCTCGGGCAAGCCCTCGAGCGTACGGAGCTGAAACTCACAAGTAACGAGTTGAGTAACCGTTAGTTTCATCTCAAGCAAGGACATTAGGTGAAGTTTCAGCTCCGTACGCTCTCGGGCAAGCCCTCGAGCGTACGGAGCTGAAACTCACAAGTAACGAGTTGAGTAACCGTTAGTTTCATCTCAAGCAAGGACATTAGGTGAAGTTTCAGCTCCGTACGCTCTCGGGCAAGCCCTCGAGCGTACGGAGCTGAAACTCACAAGTAACGAGTTGAGTAACCGTTAGTTTCATCTCAAGCAAGGACATTAGGTGAAGTTTCAGCTCCGTACGCTCTCGGGCAAGCCCTCGAGCGTACGGAGCTGAAACTCACAAGTAACGAGTTGAGTAACCGTTAGTTTCATCTCAAGCAAGGACATTAGGTGAAGTTTCAGCTCCGTACGCTCTCGGGCAAGCCCTCGAGCGTACGGAGCTGAAACTCACAAGTAACGAGTTGAGTAACCGTTAGTTTCATCTCAAGCAAGGACATTAGGTGAAGTTTCAGCTCCGTACGCTCTCGGGCAAGCCCTCGAGCGTACGGAGCTGAAACTAACAAGCTGAATCCTCCACGTACCCAACCACCACCCCTAGAGGAGTCTCCCTTTTATACCTTCATTCCGCCGTGCTCAGTTTCAGCTCCGGAAGCTCTCGGGACATGCTGATCGGTGATTGGTGTTTGCTTGTTGATGTATGTGGTATGTTTGAAATACAATCAAGCATGGTAGGAAGGTCTTGATGGAAAATGCGTACCCTCGTGCGTAGCCCTCGGGCATACGCACTCGGGCACTCCATGCCCTTGTGTGTACGCTCTCGGGCAAGCCCTCGAGCGTACACCATGGTACACACGCGGGCATGAATTTTCCACCAAGCCCTTCCTTCCATGCTTGATTCTATACATCGGTTCCGATGGTATATCTCTCGCCTCCGTACGATATTGCAAACTTGCCACATCGCCGATTTTCTGATTGCGTTTCCATGGCGACTACAGGTGATGACGCACATTCTGCTTAGCTCCGTGAGAGAGAAGCACTGCAGAATTGTGTCATTTTCAGTGGACCGTATGCGTGTTAAAACAAAATGGCGTCACGATTTATTGAAAGTGGTATAGTTGGTGGAACGAGTGTTCAAACCCATTTGAACTTCATACTGTTCGTCTTCTTTTTGACATGCTCTCTTTCCATCGTCCTTAGCTTTTGTTTGTTGAGAGCTGTTTTGGCTTTCTCCTATACCTCTGGGGGATGCCAAGTGATGGTTTTGAGAGGCTGGTGATGGCTGTGAGCGAGAGTTTGCCGATCGGCGTCGTCCTCGCTATAGCGATGAAAATACTAGTTACTGCGCACCTGGCACATATCACAACACGTCGGAGCGTCCAGGAGCAAAGGAATCTTGGGTTTTCACTGGAATCTAGTTCCTCCAGCATCGTGTAGCCCACCGTCGGTGAATGGCGGTCCAGAAAGGTCGAACCTGGTCTTCTGCAGCATCTCGCAGTCCTGCGAGGCACACTGAATACGCCTGTCATGTATTCTACAAATAAAAATCACGAAGTTGTGGACTTTACAGTGATGAGTCTATCCTGTATGCTGCAAAAGACGCAGGAAATGTGACTGGTGTCCGTACACTGGACGCCAATATCATCCCAGTCTTCTCCTGCAGGATCTGTTTGACATTGACATACCGGTATGCATTGGGTCGACATTGGCCTGGTTTGGCAGCTATCTGCCTGGGTGGATGTAGCAGGTTTGCATTGGCGCGTCGTCCAGTCCGACATTTTCTTGTAACTGTGGAGTACCGGCAGGGTCTGAGAGGTTGCTCGTGCTGTGAACACATCTCTACTGCCTGTCTCGTCCTGGAAGTGCCGTCTCGCCGCTTCCTTGCTCTACAGTCACGCCGTTATTTCGCTTTGTTTCGTGGTGCAGCTCAAAACCTGCCCAAACAACTGTGAGCTCGCAACATGGTATGGACAAATTGCACCACTCATGCTGGTTAATTAAAACCGGGATAGTCGAGTAAGCGAGTTCACTCCCTGGGCCATGGCAAGATCTGTTCAGCGCGGGCTATTCCAACCTCCAAGTGCATA